GTTCGGGACGCTCGGGAGAGCCGCCATCGCCACTCGAGGGGCAGGAGCAACAGCAGAAGCAGCAGCAACAGCAGCAGCAACGCGGCAAGGGGACAGAGGAGCCAGGGCCGTCAGGTCGGGGTGGACGGGCTGCCTCGTCCAACGACGTTGGCGATGGCGTCGAAGGTGGCGACCATGGCGGTGGTTCTGACGGCGCTGCGACCGAGAAGTCTTCCCCCAAAATCAAGCGTGGCGACGGTGGCGGTGGTAAGGCCGAGAGCTCGCCTCCCGATGATAGTGGCAGCGGCGGTGGCGGTAGGGGGGGCGGCGGTTCCTCTTCGCGTGAAGCTGAGACTGAGGAACGCGAAGGCGTGTCCCTGCAACCACGGCAACTGCAGCAGCAGTCGCAATCGCCCAACGCCAAGGAGGAGGCCGCCATGCGGCGACAAGAGCAGCAGCAGCGGCGGCGGCAGCAGCAGCAGCAGCAGCAGCAGCAGCAGCGGCAGCGGCAGCGGCAGCGGGAACAGCGGCCAGACTCGAAGCCGCAAGTGGTCGGGTGGATGTCGGCCTCTCCTTCTCCTTCCCCCTCCTCCTCCGCCCTGTTAGGGGGCGGTGCGGCCTCATTCACGACCACGCAGGAGGCTGAACTGCTGTGCGACGCCGCCGATGCGGGAAGACGCACGGCAAAGGCCAGAAGTGACCACCATTGGGCCAAGGGTTGCTACAATGGCGGCGGCGGGGGGAGCAGAGGGCGTGGCGACAGCTCCGACAACAGCAGCGTCGGCGGCGGAGACGCAAGTAGCGAGGACGAGGCACCCGGAAGCCAAGGGCAGCCGGAGAGGGGGGGCACGGCCTTCGGACAGAAGACCGCTGCTGATGGACCAACCAGAGCCGTCGCTGCTGTCACAAGCGGCCACCGTAAAGGAGGGATGGCACCAAGTGACTACAAGAAGCGCGACCGGGGGGGTAGTGGTTATCGCCCGACAGGAAACGGTGGGGACGGCGGTGACATGGCCCGAGCGCGTTCTTCTTGTTCGTCGTCCATCTCAAGCGAAGAAGAAGCCCAAGGAAACAGGGAGAAGGAGGCCGCAGAAAGGGGTGTTGAAGGCGACGGCATGTCGGGCAACGTGATCGGAAAAGCCGGGANGGGGGGGGGGGGGGGGGGGGGGGGGGGGGGGGGGGGGGGGGGGGGGGGGGGGGGGGGGGGGGGGGGGGGGGGGGGGTCGAAAGACAAGCGGGGTGATGATGGGGGGGAGGAGGTCGCACCACGAATTGGGCATATATACCGTATTCTCGCATCTCGTTGAGTTTCACGTGCTATGCCAATTGGCACGGTGGGTTGGCAGCAGCATAGAAAAAAAAACTTCATGTGTTTCAAGATCGGAGTATCTCGCGTTTTTTTGTTTCATCAAACGGAGGGAGAGGAAGCAAGGCTATGACAGCGAGATTGTTGTTTTGCAGTAGACGGCGAGCCCCACGCCTACCTGTCTGTATGGGCCGATAGGAGCAAATCGTCATGCGGTAAGGATTCTCGGACGCACGCCATTGGCTCACCCCTGGCGGATTTCCGTTTTCGTCCCATGTTCTTTTCATGCTTGTCTTTGGCCTTTTGCCGCATCTGTCCGTGAAACCCGCACAAACGGGCTACCTCCAGAAAAATCTCTTGTCATGAAGAGGCATCGGCCTCGCCACCGATATTTCCAGTCAAGATGCGGGGAGGGGGGGGG